TAACGTCAATATCTTTTAATGTGATCCAGTGGTTTCCTAGGAGATGCCCTCAATGGCTGAGCTTCTCTACTTTAGTATTGCTGGTGGATAATATCTATCTGCGCCATTTGTTTGGTTCATTCAGGGTTGCTTTGCCCTTTTTCCACTGGTCATTATATTCCCTCAGGGGGTTGTTAATGGGCACTAATGAGCTGGGGAGAGCGGGAAAAATAAGTACAGGCACATTTTATCTTCACAGCTTTGACCTGCTCTGCTGCCAGGAGATGCACACCTGGCTAGAAAGAAGGGTTCAGAAATCAGGATTAGTATATCTTTGTTCCATGGTCAGCCTGCCAACGCCATCCTTAAGGATGAAAGTGTGCTTGAATAATCAGCAGTTAAAGAAGGGGAGGAACTCTGAATTAGAGTTACAATTTTCTTTGGGGGAAGGCAAACCCTCAAGCCTTTCCGATGGCATCATCCAGGTTGCATCCTTAATCGAAGATTAAGATGCCAAACAGGAAGATTTTGCCTCCTGTTTCTTAGGTTTTCCTGTCAGAAATCCATCAGCGTTACAGGCTGGTGTGACAGAACACAACAAACCGAGAGAAAGATCTTTAAGTTTCACTGAGCCTGCTGTTACTGCCGGAAGAGAGGCTGACAACTTGGGTGGGATCCCATCCCAAGCTATAATTTCTAATCTGTCAAAATCACTTCCTTTCAGAGCCCCTGATTACATTAGCATGTGCTCTTCCTGATATGATTGTCTCTCTCTTAGCTGCCACTTTCTCCTTTCAGCTGCCACAAAAGCCAATCAGATTATATGGAGGGCAGGGAAATAAATAAATCTTCTCTTCTCTTCTCTTCTCTTCTCTTCTCTTCTCTTCTCTTCTCTTCTCTTCTCTTCTCTTCTCTTCTCTTCTCTTCTCTTCTCTCTTCTCTTTCTTGCTTTTTCTTTCTTCCTTTCTCTCTCTCTCTCCCTCCCTCCCTCCCTCTCCCCCTCTGTCTCTCTCTCCCTCTGTCTCTCTCTGTCTCTTACCCTCCCTCCCTCCACTCTCTTTCTCTTTCTGTAAATGAGTTTAGGCAGGAATAAATCAGTCAGTGCTAGATTTAGCCGCTACTTGATGAAGTGCAAAATTTTAGGGAGGCAGCAGAGGAGGACTCAAAGACAGTAAAGAATGATCACAGTTAAGGTCACAGGGATTCTGCCAGAAAAGACCACTTTCCATAAATCTATTAGTCACCCTTGACTTACAATCAAAGTTGGTAGGGGAAGCTGAATTTGCTTAAAAACTGCATGATTTACTTAACAACCACAGTGATTCACTTGACAGCTCTGGCAAAAATGTTGGGTGTGACTCCCTCAACAACTGCCTTGCTTAGTAATGGAAATTTTTCTCCCATTGTGCTCTTAAATTGTGGACTATCTGTATTGTTAACACAATCCCAAGGGTTCTTCCAGGTGAACTGCAGTTGCTTGGAAGGCATTCAGGGCAGGGATGAAATCGAGCAGGTTCTGACAGGGTCTGGAGAACTGGTAGCAGAAATTTTGAATGGTTTGGAGAACTGGTAGTGGAAATTTTGAGTACTTCAGAGAACCTGCAAACACCACCTCTGGCTGGCCCCAGAGTGGGGTGGGAATGGAGATTTTGCAATATCCTTCCCCCAGGAGTGGGGTGGGAATGGAGATTTTGCAGTATCCTTCCCCTGCCATGCCCACCAAGCCATACCTATCAAGCCACATCATGCCTACGAAACCATGCCCACAGGACTGGTAGTAAAAAAAAATTGGATTTCACCACTGATTCACGGCTATGATTCTGGCACCGTCTACCTTTGCAAGACATGTAAAGCAGTGGTGGGTTGTCCCCAGTTCGGACCGGTTCACAAGAACCAGTAGTAAAACCGGTGAGAGGCCCTGCCCACCGCCCCGGATGTTATCATCAGCGATCTGCGCATGCACAGAAGCAAGGCGTGCTCGCTTCACTCACGTACGCCTGCGATCCCATTGCGAACCAGTAGTAAAGGTAAGTAGAACCCACCCCTGATGTAAACCCATAGTTAAATATGATAGATCAGAGCTATAGTGCATCCTTAGGTGGTTGGTAACCTGAAAAATTACCTCCTATCCTATGGCAGAGACACTGCCACTTGGTGTTAACAACTGCAGACTAGGTGAAGAAATATTGCATGGCAACTTCATGTATCCATATGCCAGAGGAGACTGCCATGGATTTTCCTTCCCATTTATGGTCTTCCTTCTGGCTGTAGCAACTGCTGTTGGGAGCATATGCAAATATGTCCCACTTGTTCTAAAATGTTGGAGACACCCTGGCTAAAATGTTGGACTGAGCTTGGGAGACCTAGATTCAAGCCCACCTTCTGACACAAAATTTCCATAGGTGTCTTAGGATCAGACAGTGTTACTCAGCTAAATCTAAATTCACACATTTGTCACTGTGGGAAAAAAAAATTGGAGGAAATATATATGCTGCCTGGGTTCTTGGAGGAAAGATAGGATAGAAAAGTCTTAAGTCTTAAGTAAACAAATCATGAAGGATTCAGCAAATTTGTCAATCAATCAATCAATCAATCAATCAATCAGAATAGAGCTGGAAGGATCCTTGGAGATCTTCTAGTCCATACAATCATACAATGAATCATACAATGTTTTACATATTCATTTTCCAAATTCAATTTCAATAACATTTTATAAATTTTAGCAATAATATGTTCATCGTTGCCACATAATGAAATTTCCAGTTCATTTTTAACGAAGTCAGATCCATAAAACTTTTTATCCAGTTTAAACCTTTCTTTCAGTTGTTAATAAGTAAACCAATGGCAAGCATAACCGTCTGATTCAAGTTCTTCCCTCGGCTTTAATATTGGGTCACCAGAGTTGAGATATTTTACTGTACATCAACCAGTCTGGCTTTGCCACCATTTCTTTTTTTAAAAAAGCTTCTTGTGGTGACACCCAAAGGGGCAGCTTCGTAGAGAGCCTTGTTTTATATTTATTCCAAATTCTTAGTATGTCACGTCTAACAAAATGGTTATTAAAATCAACATTAACTTTACTTTTATCATACCATAAGTAGACGTTCTCCCACACTTGGAAGATTGGTAAGAGTACCAGCACTAGCAAGTCTCCTTTTAATGGCTGTGTCATTATTAGCAATTAATATTAATTAATCCAAATGCATGGAAGAACCAAAAGGATTCATGTTAACACTCATGTAAAGAAGAAGCACAATAATGAACAGAAACCAGTGTTAAAATGGTCTAGTTGGCAGTTAAGTCAGGGTCTATAAGCATTTTGAAGGCATTCCAGCTTGTTATGGACACCTGCCAAGCATGTCAAATGTTAACCACACTGTAGATCAGAAAATAATTGGATTAAGAAAAAAAAAATGAGACTCTGCCTTTCTGTGTTCTAGATTAGGGAATTCTCCAACAGTTGGAATGTTGTTTTTCATTCAAACAGAATGAAATATTTGAATTGCTGAAAAGTTGCAGGCATGATGCATGACAGCTTTCTGAAAAATAGAAGGCAAGAGTTTGGTGCTCTCTATTTTTGAAATGCGGATGATGATGGTGATGATAGATGTGATGAAATATGTAGCAAAGTCAGCTCATAAGGCAAATTTTAGAGACTGGAGATAGATTGAGGGGAATATAAGTGCAGTGGAGCTGATTGAATGAAAAGAAAGATTTCTCAATTGGTGTGATAACCAATTGTGCCCAAACCAGAAGGGTCATTTTGATTTCACCACAATATCCGGGCAATGTTTTATATAAACAAACTGAAGCGCTGTTGTTTGGGAGCAGCTGTTGCAAGTCCTGCCACTTGCACTGTGCCAGACAAACAGATTAGGAACTGTACTTTTTGATTTAGAATAGAAGGGATTAGACTTTGCCTTGGGCAAATAAAAATCTGCTTCCAGGTTGTTCTGGAAGTGGGCTTCAGCTCGATCAGGTTCACGATCCCAGTTTTGATAGCTATATTTTATGGAAAAGCAGTTAATACAATGAATGGATGGATGAATGAATATGAAAACACAAAACCAATATTTTCCGTATCTTCTTTCTTTCCCTTATTGCGAATGACAAGGGAAATGTCAACGAAAAGTGGAGTATTATAATACTCTCTTTACAATTATAGTCTTCAGACAATAGGGACTGTTTGTTTCTTGCCCAAGCACTTCTCCAGTGTCTTGAAGACCTTTTCCATTTTGTATCTCTTACGGAGAAGCCCTTGGCTGCTTTCCTCTTGCATGACAAATCTTCTTGGAGAAAACCCAGATTCTTTTCTTTTTTTTTTCTTTTTAACTGCAGATAATTGCTTAAAGAACCATTGATCCAGTTCACTCAAATCTCTTCAGGGTGTAATTCTATAAATTTTCAGTATTCAAACACCGCATTTAATGTTTGTTCGATGTGATTTGATCCATTTTAAGGTGAGGCTGCAAATGTGACCGAATGCTCCTTTTCAGTAAAGAGGAGAATTTGTCCCCTTTGATGCCAGCTGCTTCTCCTCTCTTTGGGGAAGCTCCTTTGATTGCCATTAATTTCATTTGGACCACGCAATCATCCCAGATTCCAAGCAGCATCTTCATTAGCTGCCAACAAAGATTACTCTGTCTATTAGAAGTGCATATCTTTTATCAGGCCAAATTTCCCTAGACAACAGGGACATTAATCATCATAATTTCAAACCAGTCAGGGAAAATATAAGTGAGAAGATGTTTTCAGAATTTGTAAGTTGGTAACAGCTGGTGACCCCATTCCAGAAAGTTTCCATGGGATTATTGGTGCATTCATGACCATGGAAATTAGTTGTCCTAATTTTTTGATGCCTCCTTCACTCCCTATAACTTGCCATCTTGCTCCTTAAACATACAGAATTGCTTAATGTTGTCAGATAACAAACTTATCCAAGTTGGCATGCTTTCTTCTACTTTTCTAAGATCTTAGTTTGAAATTTGTTTCAGTTTTGCTTCACTGTTGCTTTTTTTCAGCCCTAACCAGACGCTAGCTGAGTGCAGCGATCTCACCCGGTGCTTTGCCTGCTTTTCTCATTGCTGCTTCCTCTCAGCTGTGCCTTAGAAGCTGTTTTTTTTTATCTACAAGCAGGGGATAAAAACCCAGCAAACTAATATGCTGAAGCTGACCAGACTAAGGATGCTAGCCAGATGAATACCTGGTAGGCAGATTTTTTTTCCTATTTTCCTTCCCAAAAATTAAGCTGCGTCTTATACTCTGAAAAATATGGTATATATATTTTAAATATAAAAAACAATATAAAAACAATAAAAATAATAAAAGAGAGAATCAATAATAAATTAATAAAATAATATAATAAACTGACACCCCATCCCTCGCCCCGGTGATAACATATCACATGAGCCATTCAATAGGCTCCATTCCGCTCTGCATTCCCCAGGTCCGCTGGCAGAAACAGGTCTTCAGCGCCTTCCGGAAGAGTGTTAGAGTGAAGGCCATTTTAATTTCTGAGGGAATGATGTTCCAGAGAGAGGGAGTCATCATGGAGAAGGCCCTTCTTCTGGGTCCCACCAGGTGTATCTCCCTCAGGGATGGGACCCACAACATTCCCTGCCTCCCCTAATGGGTTGGGTAGGTGTGACGGGCAAGAGATGGTCCTCAGATAACCTAGTAACCTATTAATCTGCACTGATGGGGGCAATTGGTTGCTGTAATTGAAGACCATTCAAGGGGCTATAATTTCTCATTTGCATGAAGAAGGCCAGCATCTACGAAGCTTGTTGCTTAGGATGGCTGAGAAGATGTAGCTGGCTTCATCCACAATCTCAAAGCCCGAATGAATATTGTTGTTGAGAAACAGATGGGGAGATAATAGAAGGAGGAATCAAAAGTTCCTCTTTGGGAGAAACAACCAGGAAGCTGGTATTTGCAAACAGAGAGCAGAACTAAATCCTTCTGATTGATGTCTTTATTTCTATTCAGAGTATACTCGAATAAATCGGTTGAATAAATGGTGAAAAAGTGTTTGAAGATCTGAATGCTTCCAAGGATTTTTTTTTTTTTAAAAAAAAACACCACCACATTTTTTTTTCTTGTGAAATTTAACACAATAAACAGGCTGCCCACACTGATAGTTACCGCTGTTTCTGCAGTTGCTATTCTTTTGCTTTCTACTTAAAGGGATTCCACCCCCCCCCCTTTTTTCACAAAATTCCATTGTTTCACATTGAAATGTGATGACAGCAGCTACAATTTATCCACAAGGTAGTGCAAGCTCTGTCTGCCCCTGGACGGTGTCTGAATAAATCAAAAGATCCTTCTGTAGTTTTACAGGGTTCTTCTTTTCAGGCATTCTGAATGGGTTGAGGACTGATCAGGATCATAAGATTGTAAAAAAAAAAAAAAAAAAAAAAAAACCACCCCAAAGTATTCACATTTGCAAAACCTGTACAATATGCCACTATTTTGCAAGCAAGGGGGAAAGATGCCATTTTACATACAAAACCATTGCTGAAAAGAACAAACCTAAACATGAATTGTACCCAACTGGAGATGCTACAAAGAAGACTGGCTATTCATATTCAGTGTGGGCAGGGCCGGTTTTAGATGAAAAGAGGCCCTAGGCTATTCCACTTATGAGGCCCTTTCACCTATAGTGAAAGTGTAATTTTAATTTTGCTAACAATTTGAATGTAGGCCCCTCTTGATCTTGAGGCCCTAGGCTGAAGCCTAGTTAGCCTATAGGAAAATCCGGCCCTGAGTGTGGGTTCAGGAGGGAAGGGAAAAGATGGTAGAATGATGCAAGTAGAAACTTCTCCGAAAATTGCCATTCTGCCTACACACAGGGAAAGTTGGAAAACTCACAGAAAAGAGAACCCAATCCCTGTGTTCATTCCTACACAAGATACTGCAAGACACAAGCATTGGAAGAGCACTTCTACTTTGTGACTCTGCAAATCCTCGTCTCAAACATGCCATAAAAGGAGTTTCAATCTCCCTAGCGGAGATGGTTTAATTTGAAGGGTTGCCTCAATTCAGATTATCAGTTCATTTCAAAGGTCAGGTTCATTGTGAAGTCTCCACTCAAACAGGAGCCTGAGTGGCGCAGCAGACTAATGCTACTGTTAAAGGTAGTATTTAGCTTACAGCTGCCTGCAATTACTGCGAGTTCAATTCTCACCAGGCTCAAGGTTGACTCAGCCTTCCATCCTTTCTAAGGTAGGTAAAATGAGGACCCGGGTTTGTGGGGGCAATAAGCTGACTTTGTATAAAATATAGAAAAGTATGAAGGCTATTGCTTAACGCATTGTAAGCCGCCCTGAGTCTCCGGAGAAGGGCGGCATATAAATAAATAAATAAATAAATAAATAAATAAATAAATAAATAAATAAATAAATGAATGAATAAATAAAAAAAAAAGTCATGAATGAAATCATCATGGTGTATCCAAAAAAGGCACCCAACTCCTGCACTTTTCTGCTGATGTCACCTGGCTGAGAAATAGGAGATTGGAATCCAAGCCAAAGAACTGGAAGGAGGGAATTGGAACAAAGAGAGATTGTTACAGGGATACTTCAGTACTCATCCTTAGCTGGTTCCGGGAGGTGCAATGAGTACCTAAAATGATGAATACCGAACAAATTTTTCCCATAAGGAATAATGTAGTGAATCACAAGGCAACCGACACTGACATGTTCTAGCTTGGGCATTGAGTACCAAACAAACGATGAGTACCGGGATGAAATGTTCATGTCAAAATGCATTGAGTATCAAATTCGATGAGTTTCAAAGCAGTTGAGTACCAAGGTACTACGGTAGAATAAAAGAAAGTTTGCTCTGGGATGAACCCTCCCCCACCCGAGCAGTTTCGTATATATTCAACCATACATGTGGGGCAGTGGTGAAATCCAATTTTTTTTACTACCGGTTCTGTGGCCGTGGCTTGGTGGGTGTGGTGTGGCTTGATGGGCATGGCTTGATGGGCGTGGCAGGGGAAGGATACTGCAAAATCCCCATTCCCTCCCCACTCCTGGGGAAAGGATATTGCAAAATCTCCATTCCCACCCCACTCTGGGGCCAGCCAGAGGTGGTATTTGCCGGTTCTCCGAACTGCTCAAAATTTCCACTACTGGTTCTCCAGAACCTGTCAGAACCTGCTGGGTTTCACCTCTGATGTGGGGGTTACCAAATAATTGTTCTGGCACAGCTTCTGTATCCTCAACTCTATTAATCATCAGGTAACTCTCCTGATGCTAATCCCATTTTAGAAATTGCCTTCTCCTCTTGTGTATGTCTTTTTTCATAAAGCTGGCCAAGGAAACAGGAATTTAGCAAGCAAGCTTTCAGCTTCATAGAGGATCGCTTGAGAGCGCCCTGGTTGCTGATCATGGACTGTGCATGACCTCCCATGACCTGTAAGGAACAACACAAAGATGGAGGCTGCATGTATAGGATTGGTATCATAGCTATTGGAAGGCATGCAACAATATGCACAAATAAATGTTGCCGATGCTTTGCCTCTTTTTTTTTTTTACTGTCTCCTGAAAACAAGTAAGTCTTTCAACACTGATGTATCACTACTGTCCTTATCTGTTACAGATGAAAATACCTAACCTGATATCTGTAAATATGTGTGCTTGTTTATATGTCATTGTGTGATGTCATTGTGTCACTTACCATTGGTTAGTACTTACCATTAGCCCCGCCTTCTCTGTATATAAGTTCTTGCTCCTCCCAGATTAGTTCCTGTCTAATTGTGTTCCTGAGGAAGAAAAGAAATAAATATTACTATTACAAGAAAGCCTACAGTCTCTTATATATGGGCCTAACCAGGATAACCAAACTAGCAACAAATTGGTAGCAAGAGGATGGTTTGGTAGGCCCAACCGAACATAAAGATGCAAGACTCACATAACGACAAAAGAAGACCTGCCACCAGATACATAACGAAAAGAATGGCAGCTCAACTAACTCCTGACAAATATACACCACTTGAAAATATTAAGAAACAAACGCAATTACAAGAAAATGAACTGCTAACACCAAACAAAGAAGATGAGGTAAAAAGAAAAATACTAGAATTAATAGAAACAACTACAGCTGAATCAAATCTGCTTGTGAAAATCCGCAGCATAATAAACGACCACGGAACAGCAGCAGATAACGAAAATAACAAACAAGAAAACTGCAAGGTAAGAAATTCAACCCCTGACTTCAAAAATGACACCAAAGATGGCGACAGCTTCCCGCCTTTTTCATGGCAGCCATCTTACCCACCTAATACCTCTAAAATGCCTGACCAATTACTAAAAGAATTCCAAACCTCAAACTACGAAATAAAAAACAAAACCTACCAAGAAGATGATTACCCGAGTCCAAAAACAAATAAAAAACAATTATTTAAACAAAACAAAGCTCAACCTACTGAAGTAGAAATAGACAATGCTATACAGGTGCTAACTGCAGCACTCGGGACTAAACTAACAATACCAAACAAACAACCAGAAAATGAAATAGAAAATTCTAAACTACCATCTACCAAAGGCCAAAAAGAAATAGACTGTCTAAAGAAAGGCCTAGCCACCCGAAGAAAGACAAGCTGGCAATCATACTTACCTACTGAAGAGCAGCTCCCTGAACAACCCGGCTCCATTGGCAATGGCGGCCCGCCTCAAGCTCCACTTACTGACGACCTCAGAGAAGACTCCCCGATGAGCAGAGCAGCACCCCAGGCATTCTTCAGTCACCAGAGGCCCTCCGGAAACAAAGCAGAGCAACAGAAGTCCGTCTGGGACTTCACCCCAGGAGCTGCAGACACAGGAACCTCCCTCATCGACTGCTGGAGAAAAATGAGGACTGAGCATGCCCAGAACGAGCCTGCAAAGAAAGAAGAAGGAAACATAAATACAAGTCAGCGCAACATAGAGATAAGTAAATACAGACATACATCTACCATACCCAGGCCTTATTGTGAGTATGCTAAGGTCTTAAATCATGGACAGCTACTAAACATGAATAACACCTCACTACACTCAGGGACAATACCTCCAGACTTTATAAAATTGAAATTAGATGGAAGCAACTTAATGGAATGGGATCAGTGTTTACAGATTGTATATATGAAAGAAAATGTTTTATTTTTTATTGATAACCCACCAAATAAGCCTTGGACCTATGAAATAGACTGCCTCCACCACAAAGCATACTATATGTTAATTGTTTCTATTTCCCCAAGTATACTCCCCAGTATAGAGCATAATTTAACTGTATTTGAAGTATATCAAAAATTATTCAGACTGTTCTATAGCAAAAATGTAGCCACTACCACAAAAATCTCTAGGGAATTCTATTCTGCCAAACTAAAACATGATACATCCATGAGTGAGCATATCTTGAATTTAAACGCTGTAAGAGCAGACCTTATTCAAAGGGGAGAAACCATTTCTGACAACACCATGAAAAGCATTATAATTAACTCACTAGATCACAGCTGGGATAACTACATTACACTAATAGATAACCTAAGTATAGAGCAAATTACTTTAGAAAACCTTACCAATAAGCTTATTACTGAAGATAGACTTAGAAGAGAGCGATATACACAACAAAGAGAAGGTAGAAATCAAAGAAGGACTGATTTCAGGGCCAGAGACAGATACCCACATGAATGTCTCACATGTGGATCTGAAAGACATCAGAGTAGAGACTGTCCCAAGAATATAGGATACAGTGACTCATATAAACACAAGGATAGAAGAATACACTTTTTAGACAGAACCTCCCCAGATTACAGGTATAAGAGAAGAGAATCACCACACTCTAGAGAAAGACAAACATACAGAAATAACCCTAGAGAAAATAAGAAAGGATCACTATATGGAATAAGAAATAATAACACTTTGATATCTGATTCACTCAACACCTGGCTCATAGATTCAGGAGCCACATGCCATACAACTCATAATAGAGAAATATTAAGTAACTTCACTGAAAAGAAATATTATATTAAAGTAGCAAACCAAAATAGAGTCCTAGTGAGAGGAATAGGAGACACGCATATAAAAGGTATAGGAAAAATAGAGGGGGTACTATTTGTGCCCGAAATTCCAAATAACATATTGGCAACCCTA